CGAGGGAGAGAGGGGAGGGAGAGAGAGAGAGAGCAGAGAGGGGGGAAGAGTGGCTGTCTGTGACGAGAGGAAGTGAATTGAAAAAAGCCAGCAGACGGGAACCATCTGTCTGGATGCATAGTCTAATCTCAGAAAAAGAGGGAATGAAGGAGGAGGAGGAGGGGGGGAGGACGACAGGCTGGATAAAGAAAGAGCGAGCTTCCTCCTTTTCCTCACAAACAAGCAAATCTATCAATCTATCCTTCCAGCTATCTACCTAATGTGCATATGTGATGCTTTTTTTGTTGTCCTTGGTTGAGATATCAAAGGGAAAAAACAGAACAAAAGTGATTGTAGGGGGCCAGGAATGCAGCAAACACACAGAACTGTCCCCCGGGGCCGTTAAAAGAGGAACAAGGACGTGATCTTGTCAGAGTTAGACTATGTGGGGGGAAAAAAAACCAACTTAAAGCAGATCTGAGGAGCAGAAGACGCTATAGCATGTATCTAAAATAGCCTTAAATTCGGCAGCTGTGGACTTCTTGGACAAACTTTTCTGCTTTTCGCGTCCGTCTACTACAGTTTTTCCAATTATCTTTTGAACTGAACTGTGAGCATATTTAGGGATCAAACCTAATAACTCTTGACAACGGCGGTTTCCAACAACAGTCTGCAATACGACCAACAGCGAGACAAACACCCCGCTGATTTAATTAGCGAGCGGAATACAAAATCACAAACTAGTCCATCGGGGCCCGTGAGAACTGGCGAAGGCTTTCGCTCTAACTTTTGCAGACACTTTGGATGCAGATGAGTCGATCACGCTGATGTATTAGGAGCCACTGATGAAGAGCAAATCTGCTCTGACGCAAAATATCGCGGCGAGCTGTTAATTACAAAAGGAGCTCGCTGAATAATTGCCAGAGGTCGTGTACTGTATTGATCCACTGGCCTCCTCCTCCTCCTCCTCCTCCTCCTCGTGATGATCATCCCCTCCAACTGGTCTTTGTCCATAAAATGGCAGACAAAGACAAGAGACAGGAAGGAGGTTGGGAGAAGAATGCGGTATCAGATGGCTAGTAACGCCGCATAGACACATAGCCAGTTAATGGGGGGGGGTGTGAAAGTTTTACACTAAGTTCCTGTGGGTGTGTGTGGACCCAGGAGCAAATGCTTAAGAGGCTCAAGCCCCAATGAAACACCTCCATCTTGAATAGCCCTTGACACCTGATAAAACACTGGGTTGTCCCCACAGGCTCTTTATTGCTCCTGAGGAGGAAAGAGGCCGCTAAATGACTGTCTGTCCTCTGACACGCCGCTAATCCGACAAACACGAGCAACCGGCAGCGTCTAAATCGACTTTTCTTCTGTGTTAGTGCAGCAAAAAAAAAGAAGTCCCTCTTGCTACGTGGATTATTTTTGGTTTAATTGGACGAGGCTTTCGGGTCACTCAACGATGGGGATGTCAACTTTAAAAATGTTTGTGTTGTTCATTCTATTTATTTTTCATTGAGACTATTTCTTCAGTGAGTCTTGATGCTGATTGGTTAAACTCAGAGAAGATTAAAACCCAGAGAGGACAACAAATATCATGTTTCTGCCTACTTGATGTGGGGTAGCAGTCTACCCGTCAAACATCCCCATCAGGAGCGTAAAATTCAGCATTAACTAATAAACCTGCATTGTCCTGTTTTTGTGTACTGATAGAACCGGCGTGACGTCCCCTACCTGCTATGTATCATTGTTTCTGCATACTGAGGAGGTATTGTCGCGATTAAAGCTGTCAGATTCCACACCACAACGGAAACAGAGAGGCTGAAAGGGCTGATTGCAGTTCCTGTAAATGTTCACACCTGCAGTGGAAAGAGTGGAGGGTAACCAGGTCATTGTCTCTGAAAAAAAAAAACACGTTAAAAATAAAAATGTATTTGTGTTTATGTGCACCACCGACTAAATTCCATTCACTTCCATTGTTCTGGGTTGGAGACACAAATCTCAGAGGTTGACCTTTAAAAAGCTTAGAAAATAAAACAGAGAGAATCTGCATGGAAGGTGAATTAGAAAGTTCTCTAATCCTTCTGGAAATCATTCCCTAGTTCTCCACAGAACACCAGTTCTGCACCACTGTCGAGTTCTGATCATGTTCCTCCATCGATGCTGATTTGGACCTCTCTTTAGAGCGACAAAATCTGCTCCCCTTTTCTGTTGTCGTGCCAAAATAAATCTTTAATGTATCAGCTCTGTTTGGTGAAAACATCTCCAGGTTTTCATGTTTTAAGTTAAAGTGAAGGATTACGTGCTCCTGTGTGGCCTGAGAAATGTCTCCAACCCAAACCCCTTCAAAAACCTGTTACATAAACTCTGAAAGGCACGGTGGTCGAGGCAACACAAGGCTGCTTTTCTTATTTACTAAAATGTTTACATTTTGGATACACAAGTTTTTCATGTGACGGCAGGAATCGGCTGTATTCTGCTGCTGTTTGGGTATCCTGAACTATAGCGGCGACCTTATCAGCGGCCCGTACTGAAGTGTTTCATGAATACCTAATATTTTTTTAATGTCATTTTAGTCCTGCGGAGGCCGAGTGTTGATGTTGGCGTCGTTTCTAAACGCATCGACCCTCGCGCGTCGCTCCAGATCAACCACAGCCGAGTATCTGAGGAGATAACTTCCATAAACTTTGGTCATCACGCTGAAGTCCAAAAAAGCCGCCTTTCCCCTCCAAAATCCACCACCCCCACGTTTCCCCTGATTGCTAATTTCTATTTATATGCCATGAGGGGAAATAATGAAAACCAGATGAGCAGGCGGAGGAAAGCTGAAGCAGGCCTTTTGGTGATGAATGCTGTGGAGGAGGATGACTGTTTATAGAGTATCCTGCTCCACCGTGGCCATGCCGGCAGCAGTGCCCTGGCTAAGAAAAGGACTGCCCCGGTAGGATGAGTGGGTTGGAGGTTCCATCATGACTCACTTGGTAGTCATGCATGTTTGCACTTGTATGGCCCCAAAAAACCCAAAGCTGCAGCGAGGGACCCGCCAAGCCTGACAACTCCAAACAGCATTACGTGGGTGTGTGGAGCTGCTAAATTTACTCTGAAACAAGTGCAGAGAGGAGGAGGAAGGGGTGGAGGTTGTCACCGTTTATACCATTGAATTACTTAACAGTGACTCAGATTTCACTTTTTTTTTTTCTTCTTCTTTTTCTTCTCGCAGCCGAGCGGTAATCCTGTGACGAGCAGAAATGTGACGCAGTTCCAGAGCAGTTCACGTGGCAGGGTGACTGAAAAGTGAAAGAAACTATTCACGGGCCTTTAACTGTTATTTCAGACACCTCAGCTGATTAGATCAGAGATTTAAGAGACATGTTACGGACTTAACAGAGCCAAGTTCTGGAAATGGTGGGAGTAGGATCTGTTTCCTTATTTGGCTTAGGCTGGAAAATATCATGTAAACACTGTCTTCCTGTTCACGGCCTCCTGAATACAGTTTAGATCTCTTCCATCCCCCTCATCCATACAGGGGAACTATAGTGAAACCTAGAAAAAAAAAAAAAAAAAAAGAGGCCTCCTATTGTTTGCTATCATCCAGGAGCCAGGAGCAAATGGGGCTCGAATTGCAGTTCTGAAAGGTAACAGGAAATTGACAAATCGCTAATCCACTCTTAGCCATTCAGGGCAACAAAAGGTACATTCCACCAAAAAAGGGAAGGAAAGGCACACTGAGTACAGAGGGCCCATTTGGAGGGATGCTTCTTTTAACGTAAACTGCTGACGCTCTGGAATAAGACGGCACGCTGTTCAAACTAAGCGACAAAACAACCAGAAACTCTCCCTTCTCGTCCGTTTAAATAAAACCTTTCATTCCTCAGAGCCGCTACAGCTTTAACTGTGGGGTTCCTGCTCATGTTGGCTTTTGCCTTTTACCAAACCTCTGAGTACACACAGCTCACGGGCCCGTTGCACACACAGCACCTGAGGGCACCGCCGTCACATGTAGCTGATTACACACACACGGTTGTGTTGTTTTGTCGCCAATGTGCAGCTCTCCAAACTTAAGCCGCGGTATATTTTTTCCTTTGTCCCAGAGAATTTCCCGGTCACAGTTTGTGTTTCCCCAACTGTTGGCATTTCTGGCTGACCAACCAACTTTCAAAGTGATGATCTCATCCCCTGGGGGCCCGGAGGTGGAGAAGTGAGTGGGTGTCAGCGGTTGGGGGTGGGGGGTGGTGGGGGTGGTCAGCGGACTTCCCAAGTGATAAATTCACTGACAAAAAAGAGCCGGCCAAATGGGGGACTGTGGGTCAGGGTGGGGGCTGGATTGGCCCCTGTCATTGCCTTTAGTGCAGGAACCATGCCATAAAAGCCCAGCATTGATAGCCCCGGTTTATTATCTTTGAACAGGTGGCCCCAGCTACTCGTAATGGTCGCTCTCATTTCTGAAGGCGCGCACACACACACACACACACTCTGGGGTTTGCAATATGGAGACCATTTGGGAGTTTGGGAACATCCCGATCTAGCTGCGTTAAAGCCCAGGGAATAAACTACAGTGCATAGTTTTGTGGTGACTTGCTGGCTGGTGAGTGGAGTGGGGGGTTTAGAAGGAGAGCTGCTTCCTGCGAGCATAACTCATGGAAACGTGGAGGCTCTGTTGATGCTAGCAGCTTCGGGGCTAATCATGTCAATGACCTGTATTGTTTAGCTTTCAAGGTTACCGAGGAGAATCGCAGCAAAGAAGCCCTCCAAGAATGTAAACAGTCACATTTTCAGCTACAAGCTGTTTCTACTCGTTGGTAATTTTTTTTTTTTTTTTTTTTTTACCATGAATTCCACACCCAGCATGAACACACACACACACACACACACACATGCATGCATACACACATGGAACAGTGATTTGCTGTTCACTCAAACTCAAGAAAACAGACCTGCCTTCGCTTAAAATCAGCCACCAGTCAGATCTCGCATTCCTCAGGCCGGTTACCGTTTCTCAGCAGGGCAATCAAGACACCAGACAGCGCTATTTTTCATTAATTAATATATTTTCTGCATTAAAGTTAACATAGTTTTCTTTTGTGCCACCCTTTAATTTTTCAGTAAGTATTTGATATTTTGTTATATTCAGACATGAGTAAATTTAAGACTGTCTCTTGCAATAAATATCATAAAATAATAGAGCTTCACATAATAAATATTTTTTACAACAAAAAAAAATGTTTAACAGACATTTTTTTCTTTTAAAAAATAGCCAGAATTCCTCTTATGGATTTTGAGCATACAATTTACACAAAATAAAGAAAAAAAAACAAAACAAAACAAAACATGGGAGAATGCCACAGAATGTGTATGAAAAGTTCAGATGGGTGGAAAGAGAGAAACATATCCAAGTGGAGAATACTATGAGATGGATGTGCTTTCGTTAATGCAACATGAGCATAGGAACCACGGTTTTAGTGTGGTAGCAACCAATAAATTCAAACATACCTGCTTGCTATGAATACCAGGTAACAGCTACATAATTGCCCTATAGTAGATCGTCCTTCACAGATTTGGTGAGAGGCAGCACCCACCGGGCACACAGACCCAGAGGACGCTGCCTACCTAAAACGGAAGAAAAACTTTTTTTTTTTCATATATATAAAAAAATAGTGTTAATGAGGAGCTGAGGATAGACATAGAAACAGTTAAGGCAAACACTGGTCTGTAAAAACATGGTCCTGATCCAGAGAAAACAAAAATAAAAATAATTGAGTGGTTTTCATTACTCCTTTGCTTAGCTCCTTAGGGTTCCGCAGCGAGGAGGGGAGGTGGGTGGGAGGTGCTTAGAATGTTTGATAAACATTAATTTGTGACTATCATCATCATTATCATTGTCATCATAAGATCCACATCTAGAGTCTCCTGCGCAATCACAAACACACAGGGAGCGATCAGGAAGGTTTCTCCTGGGTCTGTGGGGCCCAGCTCTCCAGTTTACAATAGACAGTGTTGGAGTTCTTGCAGCGACAGCCAGGCCTGTTGACCCGGTCGTAGCAGCCCTGGCACGCCTTCAGACACCCCTTGACAGGTGGGTAGCATAGCAGACAGGGGAAGAGTACCGACATTAATCCCATGCACAGGAAACGAGAGCAGCAGTGGGAACGTGACAGTGAGCAGGGGTGGTCAGCGCATGAATCCCCCTCATCGTCATTGGAGCAGTGGTAGAAGATGCCCTTAACCAGGCACATACATGTGCCGTGCTCCAGCGCACTCTCAGCAGAGCACAGGCACTGGCCGTTGCATGCCAGACATGAAGGCAGGCTCCGGGGAGCCGTGCAGTCACTGCACTTGCACTTCCCACAGCGCTCACAGATGAACTGGTGCCCAGCAGCAGCCACCACCCCGTTGCCAGAGCCAGAAAAGTCCGATTTCCCTTTGCCCTGGGGCTTGAGTGGAACCTCTAGTGGAGGCTGGTGGAAGTGAGGTCCCTGCTGAGGCTGTAAAAGGGCCTTGGGCTTGGGCTGAGTCCGAACAGGCCGGTCCGCTCGGTGGTGGTGCTGTAAGCTCATGCCGGGCCTGGTGGGGGGTGAGCGTGCCAAGAGTCCCTGCTCAGAGGAGGCGCTGCTGTTGCTCCCTGAACTGGCGGCACTTCCTGTGCTGGTGGAGCGGCTGAGCCCCGGGGCCCGGGACCCGCCGTACTGCGGTGCCACAACCACCACGCCGCCCCCAACGTGATGGTGGTGACCTGACGGCCGGTGCTCATAATTGTTGTTCACATTGACGAGGATGACCTCGTGAGTTCTCTCCTGCTTGTCCTGGGGCCTGGGGGGCATGCGGGGCGCAGGAGGCCTCCGTACCACTGAGGGCCCCTCGGTGTACTCGTTGCTGGAGCGGATGGCCTTGATTTGGTCCAGGGAGAGAATGGCGGCATGCTGGAACTCCCGCTCGTAATCCGACCTCTGCCGGCTCTCTAGGGAAGGCTGCTGGATCACCACTAATGAACCGCCGGGGCCATGTTGACTTTGGAGCTCCATCTGGGGGGATCACCACTTCCGACATTCACCGTGGACATGCATCGGAAAACCTGCCAGAGGGGGGAACGGGCAGGGGAGAGACAAAGGAGACGCAGGGAGGGAGGAGACATCATCAGAGAGAGTCAAAACATGGCATAAGTGGCACAAACACAGTGTCCTGAAGGAAGAGGGGTGAACACACTGCCAGGCCTGTTCACATTCACAACCTGTGTCATGATCATCCCTCACAAACACAACTGTAGAGCAGCAACAAACACACAGCTGAACAGTGATTCTTATTCAAAGTGAAATAAGTGTGTTTTAATACGTGTAGGTGTGTGTGTGGTTAATCCAGACTCTGTTTTCATCCTGTCAACGTGACAATATGTCACTTTTGATCCCGTTAAGTGAGGCAACCCGGGAAAAAAGTTGACTATTAACAAGACTTTTTTGTACCTTCCTCCCCAACACGCACACATCTAAACTTCAGTAGGCCCTACAAATACTTCCCCTCCTCATTTACATTTGTATGACTAGTTAACATTTAAATGCACCGCGGCGACGAAATGAGGACACGATCCAAGGGAACTAAATGAGCTGCCTCACTTAGTATTCTATTACTACACCAAAAAGGATTTCAGCGAAATGGGGACAAAAGTGGAGCTAAAAAACTAAGGTCAGACCGAGTTCCGACAAAATACAGAGTTTGGTTGAAAAACCAAACTGAGTGCGTCAAAGTTGTCGGATTAAAACTTCGCCTCACAGCGACGCACGACTTTTTTTTTTTCTCCCCCCCCAAGTTCACACGAAGCAAATAATTTGTGCAATACGCGTGTTTATACCATAAATACTGTCAGGAATTTGGGCTTCAGCCTTCGGGGATGTTATGAAGCAGAGCCGAGCTGCTGGAGGCCAAAACCTACAACACAGTTTACAAAAACAGAAAGCCTGGCTGCGCACATTAAAGCTGCGAGTCAACGCACAAGCCATCGATTTTCTGTTTTTTTTTTTCTTTGGCTGCTTTGCAAATAAACAAACTTTCTTTATTATTTGTAAAGAGGCTGTGCGTCAAAGAGCGCACTATAAATGGAGAGTACAGGCGCAGGACGCGTTCAAAGCACAACACGTCGTGTGCTAGTAATAAAAGCAGGATCCTATAAAACCCGCAGAGCCAGAGATCAAGAGACATTAGAGGACGCATCCAAATAGACGGGGAAAACTTATGAATGAAAACAACCGCCGTGGGGGAGGGGTGTTTGTTACGGCACCGCCACGGAACGACACAGGCGTGGAAATCCATCAACTTCATCAACTAATAGCGACGAATTCAGCCCACTGCGGGTGATTTTCTATTTCCACAACGACGCGGAAAGTCTCGGGCTTTTGTGCACAAGTGTAACTGAGCGTTCACGTCGCTGCAGCGGCGCAAACCCGGATCGCTACGCACGCTACTATCGCGCAAGAAATGCCGTAAAACCTGGAAAAAATGCGTAAAACAAGTGCGAAATAATGGAGAAGGTGCATACCTATATGCAAGCATCCATAACGTCGAATCCATCAACCAAACAGTCTACCAAAACTCCATCCAAAAGGAAAGGGGCAATGTCCAAACGGAGATTACGGGCTCTAATGCATAACATTCAGTCCCTTAATCCAAGTGCGAGTGTATCCCTTTTTGCGTTATTCCCTTTTCTCGGTTAGTTGTAAAGAAGTTCAGCGAGCGTTACGCATGCATTTGTCCCAAGATAGAGCGAAGTAAATCCACGGTGGAGCTCTGCTGAGGCAGGCAGGGAGGGAGGGAAGTCACCCGGAGAACTGCTGCGCACTTGGAGGCCGATCTTTAGGCAAAGACGACCCAGTTCGAGAAGTTCCCGGAGAAATTGTGAAATAAAAAATAAATGTCTCGGAGGAAAAAAAAAATTAAAAAACACGAGCGAGCTTATATCCAAGAGTTTCCCCTCTCTGCTTCTCCTATCTGCTGAGAGTCGAGTCTGAGTTCTGGCTGTTACTTATTGTTGCGGGGAATCTGCGCTCTTGTGCAAAAAAAAAAAAAAAAAAAGCGTCGTCGGCTCGCAGACAGCGGTGCGCTCTCTCCAGCTCTGCGGGCCTGTTCAGCACTGAATGAATGGGGACGCAGGGCTTAGTGTTTGCTCGACAAGCCAACTCCCATTGGCCATTCACTCCACTGAAAAAGGATACATCGCATCCGCTCCTGATTCATTGGGCAGATGTGGAAGGCCGGGCGATAGAGATGTGTGCACTGCTTAAGGTGGAACGGCCTTTTTTATTTTCTTTTCGTTTTGCGTTGGCTCGACGAGGGGGCTCGGAGAGGGGAAAAAAACACACTGGTTTCCGTTCTTGTGGGTTATGAATAATGATGTGAATAAGGTTAATGTGACTAAAAGTGATGTAATAAACGCCCCGTTTATTTATAGTCTTGCTGAACTGCCATTTTTGGTACAGAGACCATACATAGACAGAGGAAACACACTCATTTACACTTTAGAACAAGTGTTCCTCTGCTTCTGAAATAAGAACTGAAACACCAGGTTGTTCCATGTGACTATTTTAAGCAGTAAAACATGTTAATACTACTGATTCACTAATAATATCTTGATGGCATTTACTGTTCTTGTGTTCCATACAAGCTAAATATAACTTAAACTTATGAACTACTTTAGAAATTCAAAACTTACTTAAGTTTGTGGTTTGGAAATGAAGTAAACACACAACATGTGGTGATGTGAGACTTTTTTTTTTTTTTTAGCTCAAATATCCAGAGCTTGACAAAAGTTTTGTTAGATAAAAACAATTAAGAAAGAATCTTTACATGTAAATCTTAGTAAAAATGGACAAAATATCTTAAAAACTGACAACTTGCTGCAGCTTGTGGGTTGGAAATGAAGTGAATCTACCAAATTTGGTTAACTAGATGATTTTAACATGACAAGAAACTCAAAGTATTCAGAATTTGACACATTTTTGATAAATAAGTAGGAAAGAAATAATAAATTAATCTTGTATGGATTCAAAGTGACTCCTTAGCAGGGGTCTGTCCAGGGCCCTGAAGAGGATCAGACATTATGACACAGAAGTAATAACCTCTGTAGTATGTAAACGCTGCTAAACTGACATCCACATACATCCACTCATTATTAGAATGTATAGAGTTAATCAGAGGGAAGCTGGAGGCCAGCCTCTGTCTGTAGGGACAGCTGTGGGATCTTACAGACAATCCAGGGAGGAAACATCAACAGGATGTCTTCTGTCCTCTTTGGAATGTTCCCATTACGCATTCACGCATGTCATCAGGAGGAATAAGACGTGGATGTTGTTTTGCGCGATTCTTTGATCGGGGAATTACGCATCATCACCACCACCACCATCATCATCATCATCATCATGAACCCAGCGTTAGCTGTGGACTGGGTGGAGGTGGGGGTGGGTGCTGCCGCGTTGGGGGTGACGGTTATTTCCAGACCACCTTAAGAAAAAAGCAGCCCTGCAGCCAGGGGGGGAGAGACTCCCCCCTCTCCCCCCGGCCCCCCCTCCTCTCTGTTCCTGACTGTCTGGTTTGATTGGTGTCGCGGATGCGCTACATCCGGATCCATGAGAAAAGGAAGTTCAATACAAAGTCAATTTATCCCATTCAAATGGAAAGATCAATAGATGAATGACCCCCAGTGGCATTTCGGGTCAGCAAATGCTTAAAAAAAAAAAAGGAAAAAAAAGAGCGCAACAAAAAAGCGTTACAAGAGTTAACGGAGTGTCGGAGCGGCTCTGTGGCGCAGTAATGACTCAGAAGTTTTCAGGCTGCATGTAAAAAGTCAGCTCCTCGGTGATAAAGCAAATCCTGGTAGACCGACAGATGGCCGCCTGGATCCCTGCTCTTAGTGGTCGGAAGTGCGGACGGAAATCTCACGATTACAGCAATTAGCTGATTTTCCACGGATGGATGTGATGAATATACCAGCCGTGGCTGTTTTTCTCCCCGTGGATATGGAGCAGCGGTTCACCAAACTAGGGGTTTAGGAGCCATCAGGGGTCCTTGAAGGGGGTCCAGAAAGTCCCCAGATAAATGTCTATTTAATTCCATAGATGTTAGTGTGGGGAGCAGGGCCTGTATAATATTCTGATTAGAGGGTTCAGGCTCACTGGATCATCAGCTACTCAACCGACTTGGGTTTTACTGCATCAAACAGGGTCCTGCTGAAGTCTAAACTGTGATCAAAGTATGTGATTGGACTGTGTGATTAATCAAAATCTCACAGAGAGCATGTTTTTCTGAAGCGCTGGGGATATCTAAATGCATAAATAACACAAAGTGGCCCTGAAAACACATAAAGGAGACAGAAGCTGCAACAGAAGAATCCAAACTACAATATATGTCTTTTAACATCATGTCAGCTGAGACCTTTTGTTTTCTGCTGTAAACTCAGAATTCAACCTCCTTTAAATATCACAGATAATGTTTGTTCTACGCTCTTTTACTATCAAAAAGAAAAGGAAACCAAAGACAACAAATACATAAACAATGCATTTAATACATGACTAAGATTTCATATAATCAAACATGACAGCACAGCAGATTCTTCAGAACTAAATATTAAAACAACAGCGTCCTGCTGAACTGTGCAGAGTGTTGTTACAGAACATCCAGATGTTAACAAGGATTTCAGGGTCTAAACTGTCTCTTTGGCTTGAAGGCCTGCAAATTGAAAACAGTTTTCTAGTCAAAACGTGAACAACAGTTGGCACAGTCGCTACACGGGTCAACATTTCCCACTGGACAGAGCAGCAGACTGGTACGGGTGGAAGCCTATACTTTTACAATGACAAAATTACAAAGGCTTTGTTTTGACTGTTTCCATCCCAGAGTGGTCAGAAGAAGCCCAGGCCGCTGCGCTGCTGCTGATAGCTGATATACGACTGGATGAGAGAGTCGGGGATCCGGGGCTTCACAGTGTTCAGGGCGCTTTCAAAGTGTTTGGCCTCGATGCGCTGAGCTTTGATGTCCTCTTGTAGGGCCAGGAGGGCAGCCTCTCTGCATACTGCTGTTATCTGGGACAGGAAACAGACACAGATATTCGGCAGTCAGGCAGAGCGCTCCATCCACTGAACGCCACTGAGTCATGTGAGCGGCCACAGTCGGGAGGCCGATCGACCTCAGCGACAGACTGTTGGTGTGTTTTGGTGAAGGAGCGGCGCTTTATTTATCTAAAGAGAAATGCCTTCGTGTCATAAACATCAAAAGCCACACTCAACAGAGGGACAAACACAAACCAAACTGTATTTACTGCCATTTACATCTGCAGTAAACACACGTCGATGCTCGCTGCCATTTGTACGATATATATGGACAGTGTTAGGGTTTCAGAACTCTACAAGTTATTTTCCTTTGGCCTTGTAAACAAAGTAGAGAACAATAAATGATTAGAAACAAAGCTTAAGTGACATGTTAACGGGTTTTTGTTTAACAGCGAGGTGAAAGAAATGCAGAATTGGCAGTTGGAATAAGATGTAAGACAGGAGAGCTGCACACAAAAGAATCTGCTAAATGACTGGCACAACATGTAATTAGTGGAATGACAGAATGTGTCACGGTGCATCAGATAAAAATAGGTAAGACATGTTAAGGAGGACTTAAAATTGAACAGAATCATATAAAATGTGACAGAAAATCTGAGTCAAGCGAAACTAATTGAACTCTAGATGAGAATAAGTTAAATTTTTAGTTTTGTAAACATTTTGCAGTTGCTCAGAAAACTAAATCTATAGCCCCCGTTACTTATGATGTACCTAACCTGCAAGCCAACAAGTAACTTTAGTGCAAATACAAATAAAAGTTATGTCATTTAAGTTACTAAATCAGCTTGACCGCACTTTGCGATTAAATCTTAGGTTTCTGATGCTTGCCTCCTCCTCTGTTCCTGCAATCTGCCACGCTCAAAATGTAAATACAGGAGTTCTCCTGCAGCCTTTTAACTACAGCACTGATGGAATTATGCAACGGCTGCCATGGAGGAGTGCTGCAGTCAGCGCCGGTGACCTTTGGGAAAGATTCTGCACACGCCAGAGGAGTGACTCACTTCCGAATTGGTGGCGATGGCTGATGAAGGCCAGGCACCTTTACCAGCAGTGCCACCCTCCTCCCTTTCCAGAAGCACAGCTTTGTTCTGAGCCAGGGCGGCTTGCACAACTCCCTCCAAGAACAGGCTCGCAGGAAGCTTTCAGCCCTGCACAAAGCGCTGATAACGCGCGCTGGGAGGTTAGTGGGACAGGTAGTCATGTGATTGGAATATTGAACGGTAGGCATGTAGAGCAATGTGTGTCCACCGAAATTGTTCAGTGGAGCGAGGAGCTGCTGGTCGCTGCCCTTCCCTCTACGGCTGCACTGTGTGGCACGCTGCAAACTGTTAGTTAACCCTCTGTACGCTGAGCAGCTCCTTTCTCACTGCAATATAAAGTACTGCATCTCTATGGAAACAACACAGCCACGGCTAGAAGTGGAGAGAACTCTAAAGTGTAGGTATAATGCCATCAATCATTAAAAAAAAGTCTATTTTCTTGATTGTTATTTTACCAAAATGAAATGCAATCAACAATTGTGTCTACAGGTGTTCCCAGCACTGGAAGGAAAAACGTGCCTCTACATCCTGCCGATGTCTTGCTATTTAGATTTTGATTTGTTTCCACACTTGTCTCCTCGTTGCTCGGTGTAAACACTTCATGACCAAGGAACACAGAATACTATTATAATTATTGCTGTTTTTTTCCTCCTCATATGCAAAAAGGTTTCTTGTTTTGGCCGTTTTTAAAATGAGACATAATTCAGTGAATTTGATGAAATATCTTAAAGTTGAGCTTAGAGTTGGTTCATTTTTCCAACAGAACTGAAAGTCACACACACTTAGTTTAAGGACTGAATCTCTCTGCTGTTACAGCTGCTTGGTTTTTATTTCATTTTAATAAACCTAAACAGGATTTCAAACCACCGCAGTGAATAAAAGTATTTTTAAAAACACACATGACGTCACCCTAAACAGACACAATGCATAGCCGTGGCGGAGACAGGAAAAAACACGGCCGAGCTCGTCAACTGCTAAAGCATATGACGGTCGTGGTGTTTTTCAAGGCCGCAGAGCGAAATGAGGGGAGATAGCTGCCTGAACGCGCTCCGGCCCCGCTAGCATGCACGGCTCAGGACAGGTGCTTTGCAGATGTCAGGATGTGAGGCCTATTTTCCCCCTTCTTCTGTTTCAAGCCAATGAGCAACATGATTTAGGCAGGGTAAACACACGGGGCTGGGTTAATTTTGTATGAGGGTTTCTCATCATTCAAGTCATTTAGGCCTGTCAGTAATAATGATGCAAAACAATGAGGCCATGCATCCCAGTGGCCTGTTTACAAATGGAGAAGGGGGGGAGAGCGAGCAAGGCAGAGGGCGAAGGAGAGGGAGCGAGCGAGAGAGATGCCACATGTTGAACAATGTGATTTAGTGTTGTTTCCAAGCAACGTCCATAAACAGGAACAGACAAACACTGCAGCACAATCAAACTGTAATTTCTTATTTACGTTGAAGCTCGACTTACAGGACGCGTTAGCCCCTCTTGTGCCTCAATCTCATGATTCAACGGTTAATAATTATTCGGTTGTTTACTTCCATAACACCCCTCAGGTTTATTAAAAAAAAAAAAAAAAAAAGTCCTCTGAAGTACACAAACGACGCGCACACACACACACACACACACACACAGGCCCTCGCATTCATACTGGCCCGGTTTATGAGCTGTTCTGTGAGGCCGATCAACAAGCCAGTGTTTCCCGCTGTGTGTTTGCCTGTACGGGCCTCGAAAAAAAATAAAGCCACAAAGGCAAACAGGGCGAGCGAAAGAGCCAGTTTGTTTGTAAACGTGAAGGCATTCCGAGACCGGAGCCAAAAGTCCAGCGCCGACTCCCCTCCAGCACCACCTTGATACCCCTAAACCCCCCACCACCACCACCCTCCAAAAAAAAAAAAAGGCGACCCACCACCCCCTAAAAACGGGCCCCCCACACTCCGGAGAGGGGAAAGAGGAGGAAGCAGAAAACTGCAAATGCACAGAAATGAGAAGTGGAGGGGGGGTCGGCGGTGAAGAGTGCTGACTTGTGGCAGCCCAAATAAATTATAGATCTCTCTCTCTCTCTCTCTCTCTTTTTTTTTTTTAATGTTATTGCAATGCAGACTTTATTTTTCATTCCCTTCATAAATTATGTCAGCAATCACTTAAATATATGGAGGGGACTAAGCTGATGCATTGCAGTGGCTGCTCTCTGGTGATGTGGGCGAGCTCAGAGTTCCTGGCGGTGGCATGCAGCCAGTCGTAAAGGCATAGCAAACGAAGAAAAAAAAAAAAAAAAGTAATCATCAAGAGCCTCTCAGTTTGCAGACGGGATAAAACTTGCTGACTCAAGATGACCCAGAAGTCTGCCTAATAGTGAGTCAAAGAGTTCTGATGATGAAGCAGAAACTGTGTAAAGTAAGAGTTTGTGCTGGAAGCTCCTCCATCTTCTCAGAGGTTCAGGTTAAACAGTGACCAACTTCAAATATAGCCACAGGATCATGGTCTTCAATCTGTCGATGCACGATATGTTGCTCATACGGCAAAACAACCCGGGTCCATTCGGCTCCTGGTATCTCAGATGAGACCGGTCATGCCCTCCATCAAATTACATTCAGTCTAATCCAGTCTGGTGGAGTCTGTGCTTCAGTATTTCTGATGCAAGAATGTATACAAGAGGAAAGCTTGGATTTTGTACATGCTACTATGTGGGGTTTCTAACTTGTAGAATAAAATTTTGCCAGTTATTTCTATCAACGTTCAAAATGTAGTCAGCTTTCAACTTGGAAAAAAGTTCTAATATAAAGCAAACAATGGCTTTCCACATAACCTCTTGCTTTCAAAACCAAATCAAATCAGTAACTTCAAAAAGTCAAAATTAAACCAAATCAGCGATTCCATATACACATAATACACTAACATAACAGGAGCATTAGTTTAAAAAAAAAAAAATGATAGTGAAAACTTCTTTAAATATAAAATACTACCGATCGTTTTAATTCTGACTGTTTGCTATCGAGGAGCATTATTCTGCTGGCAGCGTGGGGTTTCTCTGGGATCACGTTGGGATTTGTTTTGGATTGGATCCAAAATGTTGGACCATAAAACTTCCACCTTGCACATTCGTAACTGGGAGGCACATGTAATAACCAGTCCTGTACTGGTGGCTACTAGATGATCTAATGAAGAAACATGGTCCCTCGTTACTGACTGTATGCAAAGATGGAGGAATCCTCTGTGATATCAATGACAGGTTTCCTGAAAAGTGCGTCGATAGCTCTGCTTGGTGGCAACGCCATCTTGGCAGTGTCTGCTCTGCCCAACTCCTGGATGCACCCTTCAGTATGTTTAAATTTAAGCCTTAAAACAATTTAAATATATGCAAAATTCACTCCATGTACAGTTGTCAGGACCAGAGAAATTATCTATAGAGACCAAAACTGCTGTAAACGTGTTTATTTCTGCTGTAAAGTTGAGCATTTTGATATGAGGATCTGTAGGGATTGACTCACTTTGAAGCTAGCCTCAAGTGGCCACTCAAGGAACTGCAGTGGCATTTCAGCATTTATTTACAATTTCACCAAAAAAGTGCCAAAAAAGTTAAGGTATAAGTCAACATTTGTCTGTGACCTCTTCCAACTGAAAGACCTCTGACCCCTGTTTAACCCATTGCACCACCACATCTTACACACACTGTATAGTTTGCTGCAGCCCTGTGATTGGCTAAAATATCTCATTTCTAAAGCCTGTAAACAGAACCAGGAGGAGGTGCAGAAGTCTAGATTCTTCTCAGACCAGTTAAATTACAATATGCTGAAAGGGTCGGATGGAATTTATGCCCAATGGTGCGAAAAAACCCCCCAAAAAACAAACAAACAAAAAAAGCCTACCCCAGCTTTAAAAGCCCTTCATGTATCACTGCCACCACCAGAAGAAATGCCCCGAATCCTTAAATCCATC